GCCTTCCCTTCCCCACTGTCAGAGAGGCAGGGAAGCACTGGGAGTGTGCATGACACAGGGGTTTATTTCGCCCTAAAATTGAAGCAGTGGGTTTTTAAAGCCACCACTTCAATTTAGGGTCCCCATTTCATCTACACATGCCCAAGGTCTCCAGCTCTCAGGAGAGTGTCTAGCCACCAGTGTGTCAGGTATTCTAGAGTGGGATTTTTCAATTTGTCCTTTAGAGCTGTTCAATTCAGTATAAATGTTAAAATAGTCATTGGGTAAGAGCAAAAGTATGAGCCTACAGCTGATCTCAAGACATTCACTGAATATTTCAATACTTATGCAAAGTAGAACAGCTTTAGTGGAAGAGTCCATTCCAGAATTCCCTGTAGGCTGATGGTAATTGCAGTCTCCAGAGAGGTGGGAGATCTCCATTCAGCTGCCAGCTCTGATTCAGGTGGGTGGGCATATGAATGCAAGCACACTAGAGTGCTATAGAGTCACCATCACACATCCTCACTGATGTTATGAATGGTTCTTAAGTCCCTTTAAGAATTTAGCATGGAAAGTCAAATGGTTTCCTTGAGTCTGTTCAGTCAAAACTATTCAGGTGAATTCCACCCAAGTTTGGGAATAGTTTCAGACCAAAACTTTTGCATGTTCCTGTGAATAAAACAAACTATTCCCCAATACTTCTTCCTCCTACCCCAAAGTTCTCCAGACTCTAGTGACAGTATTCTCTTTACTTTTTCCTGATTTTTATTTTATTGGTACCACAATCAGTTGTTTGTTGAAAGTAGTTGACTGAAATATTTCGTCTCTTTTAAGGAGCAGTATCTACTGTTCTGACTTTCAAAGTGAACCTCTGAAGTCGGAGGTAAAAGAGTGCCATTTACAGGGGAATCATTCCTATGAATGCACATTTCAGCCTATCTTCCTTTTATCGGGATATACCATGTGGATAGAGATAAAACACCTGTTGGGAACACTTCAGTCCCCACCAACATGTGTCATTCCAGCAGATGTAGGTAAGTCAAAGATTTCCTTAGTGGCTTTTTCTTCCAGTAGTAGTCTTGGTGCTCAGCATTTATGCATCATACACATAGTAGTTGTTCATTTAGAAAAAACAAAAAAGTCATGATCTCTTTCAGTGATAATTTAATTCATCCAAAATGATTGAAAATACTGAAATCCTTTCCACAGAGTTCAATCGGCTTTTTGTCAGTCCAGGAGCAGTGCCCCTTTACCACCAAGAGCACCGGTCTTGGCCACAGGAGATTGTGCTCAGTGAGCTCTCTGTTTCCATACCCCACTTCTCAGCATCCTGGATCTACTTCTGAGTCAGACACAGTATATTTAAGATGAAAGCCAATTTTGTAGTGTTTATCAGCATTGTGACCACTGCAAAGACTCTTGCAATAAAGGTTGGGTTAAAAACTTTTTATGGTACACATTTTGAAAATTAATGGTGCAGCCCTTTTTAAACACGGAATTGCATGCCCAAATTAGTCATAAAATTACTAACTTCTCCTCCTCCAGAAATGCTTTTGTTATGATAACTATATGAAAGTAGACAGGCAAGAATGTCTGGGTTGTGTGGCAGCTGGAGATAGTTGATATTCTTCAAATCAAACCAAACTGAAATATATCTAGAGTCACTAGGAATCACTAAACTATACAAGAGCTAACCTATGTAGCCAGGGTCCTTATTTTCCTAAATTTAATCTACTCCTTAGCTTCTTCCTTTTAGTTTTCAGAGTCATGTTTGTCTTAGAGTGGAAGGTTCTGGGGTCAGGGCAACTCATATTTGTGTTTGAAGAGCCTACAGCATGATGGCGCCTCTAGGCTCAGTGTGTATGAACAACAATAATACCAACATGAAAGTAGTACCATCATTTTGATTCCACTCATGTAGTGATGTTGTGCTTTCCAAAATATTCTAAACAGACCCCAAATAATATTTTAGGAATATAAGTGTGTGTGTGTGTGTGTGTGTGTGTGTGTGTTTTATGGGGAGAGGGATTAAGACTCCTTTGGTTAGTTTATAAATACTTGGTTAGTCTAAAATTTTAAGTCTAAAAGTTTAATTCTACCCTGCTTTCTACTTGAATTCAGCCTAACACAGCTACGTACATCTCTTTGAAGTAAAAACTCGAACTATCCAAACACAATTAATAATCTTTTAATGAGTGTCTTGTGCCCTCTGATATGACTTATGTTTAGGTTCTTGATTCACCCCTTGATTCAGCAAAGCTCTTTAACATTTGCATGACCCGTAAGATATGTGTGCTCCTGTTTTAAGTCCTGTCTAGAACCCCTGTGAGATTTTTCTCATGGCATTTTTGCAACTTGTGCTATCTCTCACTTAGATTGTTTTAGGTACAACAAACTAATAGAACTAACTCTAGTGGAATACATAAATTTGGTTTGAGGCTACAGGGAAAGCCAATGTCTGGTAGAAGACTTCAGGCATTGTGCATTGCCAAGTCTACAGGGAAGATTTACTTGCTGCCAAGCCAAAGATCTGCAAGGTCCAAGAGAATAAACACGTGTTGGCTTTCCACTGGACAAAGTATGACTATCTTGCAGGAACAAAATTAAGATTTTAATTGTACAATTTCTGCCAAAATATTTTTCTCGCACTTTCTCAAAGCAGAAATATTGATTTTTTTTTTTCTGTACATTTGTAGTCGGTGTTTGTAATAGGAATTTCTTTCTCTTCTTCAGTTAGATTGCAAAAGCATGACAAGAAGAGAACAGAATGAAATATAATGTTATAAGGGAGGTATAAGACTACATTCACAGAGATAATACAACTTTGGCCCACATTGAATCAACCATTACTATCTAAAGTTTAAATTGAGGAAATGAAAAGAATTGCACAGGGAAAAAACCTAATGCATTATGGCCACAGTGCTTCCTCAGATTTAGTTTTGCGGCTCTTTTACTTAAGATGTTACTTAAGCACTGTCCTGATGAGTATGTTAAAGCGTGGTAGTGCAATTATGCAGTTTCCTTGTGAAGCAGCCACTTTGGAGTTCACAATCATTTTGTGAATTCAGACACTTTTAAATGAGTACATATTCAAGGAGCCACTTTTTTTAAATATTCTTCAGACTTTTCATCCTTTTTCGACAAGCAGGTTTGCTGATTCTTATGACCTTTACCTACTGTAGTTCTGGCCTTCAGTGCTACTTTTCCTCAGATGGACTATACCTGTGGGGGGCAACTTTTTTGGCAGGTGCAAAATAGCCCTGCACCATGTGCAAGTGCCATTCCCTTCCCCTTCCCCCTGCTGAATCTGCTCCCAGCCCTTTACGTCCATGCCTGTTCTGCTGCTTTGCTTTCTGTTTCCTCTCCTATCTGCTCCTGTGCTCTCTGCTTCTTCTGTGATCTGCTACATGCCACACACACAGGCTGCTTGTGCTGCCTGTGACACTTGTCACATGTTGCTACCCCTGGTATATACAATTACACATAATGGAGCATGGAAGACTGTTTTGATCCTGTATTTTACTGCTTCTTGAGTGTGCCAAAAGCATTTGGCACTCATCTACCCCACAGCTATCCTATCATGCAAGTTGCCAGTCATATGTGTTGTTACTTCGGCTGATAGATCAATTATCCAGTCTCTTTGAGGAAAGGATTGAAGAAAATACTGGGCTTTGTCCAGTGCTGACTAACACAGGCCTCCAAATGCATCTGCTCTGAGTAGTTTTAATGTCTAATTTTTAAAACTCATTCCTCCCTCTTAAACCTCAAAGAAAGAACTGATTACTGTTGAGCTACAATGAGTGAATTGTGCTCTGTATGTTAAAATGTAGAAGCATGTTGTCTGTAAGCAGCAGGCTGTTTCTTCAGCTTCTGTTGTGTTTTTTTCCAAGAAGGTGCTTTTTGACAAACTATTTTCCTGTTGCAAAATGGTGGTTTGAGAGGCCTGCAATTATCTGCTGGAAAAGATGGTTGTAGTGAAATTTTCTATCAGGAAAATCAAAAATGTTCATTTCAGAGTGGTCCGTGTCTACTAAAACCACTACAGGGTGTGATGGGAATTGAAGTTCTTGGTCATTTATGCCTCCATACTCCCATAGAGACTCTGTTCCCTGATCAAACTACATCTCCTATAATGAGCTCTGGTTCTTCCATTTTGGCAGTGATCATGGGCGTTTGTACACGCCACAGGGGTTTACTTCAGTTTAATTCTCCCTAAATTGAAGTGATGGGTCTTTTAAAACACCGCTTCAATTTAGGGTGAAGTAAACCCCAGTGGCGTATACACAAGGGTTGGGCCTGACCCTCACCTTCTTCTCTGGCTGCGGGGAGGGGAGAGGAGGGCGAGCTGCCCACCAAGCGGTCCCTGAGCTGCTGGGGGGTGAGGGGGTGCTTCCCTTCACGGGAGTGGCGGCACCCCCTGCAAGCACCTGGCCCGAGTGGTCCCGGAGGGCACCACAGCTGCAGAGGGAAGCACTGGGCCCCCGTGCACCTCAGGCAGGCAGGCAGGCTCCGGGGAGGGGGGAAAAAAAGATCAGGCTCCCTGCTTTTTTTTTTCCTTTCAGTGGAGCCTGTTTGCACAGGTTGCTGCCAGGCTGCCTGCACAGGCTGTCTGCACAGCCCCTGAGGTCTGGTACGCTGGGCCCAGGGTCCGGGGCCCAGTGCTTCCTTCCGCAGCAAGCTAAGCCACCTCGGAGATGTTTTATTTTGCTGCGTCCCAAAGTCATTTAACATGCATTATGCCTCCGTGTGCAAACAGCCCGCCGTTAAAGCGCATTACGCTGCCAACACGTGCAAACAGCTGCACCATTAAAGCAGTGCAAAAGGTCATTAAGCTGCTTTAAAGGCCAATTTTGTGGCGTGTACAAATGGCCCCGGAGGGAAATCACAGTAGTTGATCTGGTTTTAGCCATCACTGTAGACCTAACCCAATTGAAATGACCAACAAAATTAAACTCCTTGACATTTCAAAATTGAGTTTTTCTGAACTGTGTATTCTATGAAAAAAATGAGATTGAAATATCAAAACAATTTTGGAATGTCATAATAGTAGTTTTCTCTAAGACTGTTCCTCTAAGTCTGTAGCAATTGAGTAAGCCAATCTCTTGTGATTTAATAATGAATTAGAACATGCCTTTGCATTAAATTCCAGATTTGCCTGGTACCAGCTGAGTTAACAGTATGGTCCAGTGCAAGGGAAAAATAGATACCCAGTAACATTGTATCACATTAGAAATTTTGGAGTGCAGATTTTAGTTTCATTTCTTCTTTTCATTTTTCTAGTGAAGCCATTTCCTCCTTCCAGTGTAAAAGCAGAAATTACCAAGAATGTTGGGCTCCTGAATGTGAGCTGGACAAACCCAGCATTTGCAACCATTGAGCTTAAGTTTCAAATTCAGTATGCTGTGAAGAGGAAAGAAATAACTTGGGAGGTACTAGCATACTTACTCAAAATTAACATGTGCCTCACTACAGTGCTCGTGCATGAAGTCTCTATCAGTTAGCCAGTATTTGTTGAATTCATTGTATGTAGTAAATTATATTCATATTTATTCATATTTATTTTATTTAAGAAAGGAATCAGAATCTGATGGCTTTTTCATTGGAATCAATGACAAGAGTTTTGAATTTACCTGTCTGATGAGTTAAAATGTCAATCAGATGCCTAAAAAGCTTTGGGGATTTTAATGCAAGTGTTTTTACTTCTTTTATAGACATATGAGGTTTCTAAAGCACCAACAAAATCAGTCCTGATAAAGGTGCCAGATCTTTGTGTTGTCTACATTGTTCAGGTGCGTTGCATAGGAGTCGATGGAGTAGGCTACTGGAGTGATTGGAGCAAATCCGCTTTTACGGTGGTAAAAGATGTCAAAGGTATGTGTAATTTACAGATACGTTCCAAAATTGGTAGTTGCATCAAATTTCAGTGACAAGTGTGAAATTGTGCTCCTCCTTAAAATAGATGTCATTTTGCAGCTCCCCTGAAAGGTCCAGAATTTTGGAGAATTATTACTGAAGATCCCATAAAGAAGCAGAAAAACATAACTTTATTTTGGAAGGTATAAATGATTGTATTTCAGCTTTTCTGTAATGTTTGTTCTTCCCATCATTACAATGATTTGCTCTTTCACTGGGGTGGGATACACGATCCAAAAGTGTTGGTAGAGTTAGAGATGACAATGGAACAAGCACATACTGTCCCAAGTAACAGAGTCAGATGTTCATTATTCATACTCCTTTATGTGCTGTTCTATTAGGAAATAGTTCATTAGTTTTACCACCTTTCACTTGGCAGAACTGATAATAGAGGGTAATAGAATTAATAATGCTTGCTGATAAATGTTAGTGGCAATACTGTGATATAAGAATGCAGTCCTTATCTCTTTCTTCAGTTGGCCTCTTCCTTTCACATCTGTCTCCTTTCTGCATTTCTCTCCTTTTCCCCTTATTGCTTTTGTTTTTCTTCACTATAACACTTCCTACAATTAGCCAGCAGAGAGAAACTATCTTTCTTCTCTAGCCTTCAGTAAGTTAGTCATGTGACAGTGGGACAAAATCTTTTCAACAGCAGTATGGTTGCTCCGGGTGGTTAAGAAGTCTCAGTTCCACAGCAGCTAGGCAGGAATCCACGGGGGTGTGTGTAGACAAAACAGGGGCCCTTAATTGAAGCAGTGGTATTTAAAAAACACCACTCCAATTTAGGGCCGATTAAACACCCGTGTCGTGCACATACCCCGCTGACTTACCTGCCTCACTGGTGGGGAGGGGAGGGCGAGTTGCCAGTGGCCTCTGGGCTGCGGGGGTGGGTTGGTGCTTCCCTCCACGGCAGTGGTGCCCCCCCCCGGGCAGCATCTGCCCACAGGCACCTGGCTCAGGCGGTCCCAAGGGGCACCGCAGCCATGGAGAGAAGCACTGGGTCCCTGCACAGCTCAGGCAGATAGGCAGGCTCTGGCGGGGGTGGGGGGAGATCAGGCTCGCCACTTTTCTTGGGCGGAGTCTGCTTTCCCGGGCTGCTGCCAGGCTGCCTGCAGGGCTTCCTGCAGAGCTGCACACAGCCTGGTGCTTCGCGGCTGTAGGGGCAGCAAACAAAACCTCTTCGGAGGAATTTTAGTTTGCTGTACCCCAAGTCATTTGCTGCACCCCAGGTGCATTACACTGCCAAATGTCCTACAGCATCTGGAATTAATGTGCAGTATGCCACCGAGGCATGCAAACACGGACACCATTAAAGTGGTACAAAAGCATTTAGCCTGCTTGAAAGTGTCATGTACACACACCCCTCATTTCATCTACACACGGCTCAGCAGAGCTCCAAATCAACACTAGCCAGTGAACTAGTAAATTGCCCTGGTTGTCATAGGCCCTGAACAGGCATTAATTTCTAGCAATGGAAATCTTGGAGAAATTTCCAACGCTGGAAATTTTTCCAGGAGAAGGGAATATAACAGTGTTCAGCCTGCAGATGCCTCCTCTCTCCTGCTCTCTACGCCTTCATTCTGGTCTTGATTCTGGCCTGGAGAAGGCATGGGGAGCAGCAGCTGCTCCACTCCTGCTGCAGCATGGCAAGCTGAAGGTTTGTATTTCCTTAGTTCCCCTTGCAGGAGAGACGGAGCTAGTAGAACTGTTCAGTGTTAGAGATGGAAATACTGAGCATGTCAGAATGGACAGTAGCATTTTAGCTATAGAAAAGTATTCTTGCTACTGAGCATCGTTTGGAGTTCTGCTGTCTTAAAACTTGAAAGCTGCCCTCTACTAAGTAAAAAGATTAGATTTTATCATTTTTATGAAATCATATCACAGCAAACTAATACATGCTAATGTGTTCTGCAGCCCTTGATAAAGAATTACTCGTTATGCAGTGTGAGCAGATATATGATAGAGCACCGCACTTCAGAAAATATGACTTGGTCAGAATATGTAGACAGTGGCACTACATACACATTTCCATGGACCGAACAGGCACACACTATTACAATTCTAGCTATCAACTCAGTTGGAGCATCCTTAGTGAATTTTTATTTACCTCTGTCACAGCAAATGAGCACAGGTAAGAACAAAAGGTTAGTAATGATTAAGACGCATTAATAAATGTTTAACTTCAGGGATTCAGTTTTTGAGAGTTTCCTATTTTTATAAAGGAAAACTTTGTCTTACAATATTCTCAGCTATTGTGTGGGAAGCAGTTTCTGTAGATTACTGACAAAGCTGTCTGGCAAATGAGTATTTTTTTGTCCCAAAAAACCCTCAAAACATCCTCATCATTTTTTCGGAACTCAACTTCTCTAATTCTTTGTTTGCAAACACTCTGTCATTCTGGCTTAGGGAACATTTTGTTGTTTCCAAAATGAAATAAGATTCCTGAGCTTTTGGCTCCCCAGGTTTCTGGCGCTCGGGCTGCCTGGCTGACTGGGGGGCCTGGTACCACCCACCTGCCAGTGAATCATGCAACCCAGGGAGTTCATTTCCCCTTGTAACCTGGAAGCTGGCTGCCAGGGAATTCTTTGCAGCCTGCCACATGAGCTATTGTAGGTGGGGAGGGGGGAGCGAGTGATGCTGCGGGGTCAGAAGCCTGTGCAGGGTGCAGTGGTGCAGGGTTGGCAGTAGAGCAGCTAAGCAGCCTGCATGGTTTCTGTTGAAGTAAAATTTCCTAGAGAAAATTTTCAACCAGTTCTACTCTATAAAGCATAATATCAAAGCTGAACACTGTGCTGTTTCATTAGTGACTAGATACTTAGTAGAATCATTTGTATCAATTTAGCAAGCTTTTACTTTGCTTTATAAAAATTATTTGTCTATATTTTAAATAATTCCACCATATAAAAAGCTAAGAAAACCTACACTGTGGGAAACAGAACTATCTAGGCATAGATATACTGTAACTATTTACACTTTAATTGTTAATAACACATACTTTTCATAGGTCAGGTTCTGGCAGGTGCACAGCATACATGTATTCCAGAAAAACTGCATTGAGCAGCAGAGCACAAGGTGGTCAGCTGACTTCAGATTCTTCTCTGTGCTGTTTACATTTTAGAGGGGCATTATGATACCTAAGGAAAAATTCAATGTTACTTTGCATCCCAAGTGGTAGTTTTCTAGCTGCAGAAATGGCATTTTTGGCACTTAAGTGCAGCTTTTAATTCTTTTGCCTGTGCAATGTGTGTACGTGAGCTTTAGCACAGCTGCTGAAGTTTGTGCAGTAGGTTGCGCACTGGCCAGGCAGGTATGTAGCTATTAGAGGCATGTGAAGCGGGCCCTATTCCATTTGGACTTGGCCTGAATTGGGGACAGGGATTCGATTTGTTGATTCGGATCACTTTCTCCAATTCGATTCAGCCAAATCTGAATCTGAAGATTCGATGCCAGTTCAGAGAATCAGAAATTTGGACATAGGCACAGCTTTAAAGGTTTTTTCTACATGCCTCAAGGTATGAGGTGCGGCTCGTGAATGCTGTGATGCTAGGGTGGATGGAGCGTCCCACAGGAGTTCGGGGTGGGGGGTGGACCACTTCCAGGTCCACTGGGGAGTGTGCTGGGGCCCCCCCTATGTCCTCTTGGCTCGATGATTGGCCATGAGGGGGACCCTGGGTGCCCCCCCAGACCCAGGAGGCACCTGGGCACCAGTTGTCGAGCTGGAGGAGGGTGCGGGGGGCTCCCCCGCGTGCTCTCTGGCAGACTCGGAAGTGGACTGGAAGTGCTTCTGGTCCACTTCTGGGTCTGCTGAGGAGTGCACTGGGGACTCTTTCCACCCCCCCCCCCAATGCCCCTGTAGGATGCTCCATCCACCCCAGCATTGCAGCATTTGCAAAACCTGGTACCTTGATGTATGTAGAAAAAAATGTAAAGCTGTCTATGTCCGAATCGCTGAATCTTCTGAATTGATTCAGAGGGTTCCAATTCGATTCAGAAAGTTTAAAGGGTCCTCTGATTTGATTCAGATTAGGAAATTTGGCCGCTGAATTGGGCCGAATCAAAACAGGGACCGAAGCTTCACACAGCCCTAGTAGCTATGTGTATGTGTACTGGAGTATAAATCCTGAAATTATCAGGAGGAAGAACACCCTTCTGGGTTTTAAACTCAATAGCTCAGTGGTTAGGGTAGTTGCTCAGAAAGTAGGAAACCCAGGTTTTAGTCCCGTGTTACTTAGGGGGAGCAGTTCAAACCTAGGTCTCCCCTGTTTCCCAGCACAGTGTTCGAACCACCAGGCCAACATTACTTTCATAGTTGGTTGGGTTGGAAGGGACCTGAGCAGATCATCAAGTCCGACCCCCTGCCATGGGCAGGAAAGAGTACTGGGGTCAAACGACACCAGCTAGATGTCTATCTAGCCTCCTCTTAACGACCCCCAGGGTAGGAGCCTGCACTACTTCTCTTGGAAGTTGGTTCCAGATCCTAGCCGCCCTGACTGTGAAGTAGTGCCTCCTGATATCTAGCCTAAATCTACCCTCTGCCAGCTTGTGACCATTATTTCTAGTCACTCCTGGGAGTGCTCGGGGGAACAGGGACTCCCCCAATGCCTGATGGTCCCCTCTGACTAGTTTGCAAATGGCCACCAGATCCCCCCTCAGCCTTCTCTTGTGGAGGCTGAACAGGTTCAGATCCCATAGCCTCTCCTCGTAGGGCCTGCCCTGCTGATTCCTGATCATGCGGGTGGCCCTCCTCTGGACCCTCTCCATGTTGTCTACATCCCTCCTGAAGTGCAGCGCCCAGAACTGGACACAGTACTCTTCCCACCCCCCCCCCCCAATGCTCCTGTAGGATGCTCCATCCACCCCAGCATTGCAGCATTTGCAAAACCTGGTACCTTGATGTATGTAGAAAAAAATGTAAAGCTGTCTATGTCCGAATCGCTGAATCTTCTGAATTGATTCAGAGGGTTCCAATTCGATTCAGAAAGTTTAAAGGGTCCTCTGATTTGATTCAGATTAGGAAATTTGGCCGCTGAATTGGGCCGAATCAAAACAGGGACCGAAGCTTCACACAGCCCTAGTAGCTATGTGTATGTGTACTGGAGTATAAATCCTGAAATTATCAGGAGGAAGAACACCCTTCTGGGTTTTAAACTCAATAGCTCAGTGGTTAGGGTAGTTGCTCAGAAAGTAGGAAACCCAGGTTTTAGTCCCGTGTTACTTAGGGGGAGCAGTTCAAACCTAGGTCTCCCCTGTTTCCCAGCACAGTGTTCGAACCACCAGGCCAACATTACTTTCATAGTTGGTTGGGTTGGAAGGGACCTGAGCAGATCATCAAGTCCGACCCCCTGCCATGGGCAGGAAAGAGTACTGGGGTCAAACGACACCAGCTAGATGTCTATCTAGCCTCCTCTTAAAGACCCCCAGGGTAGGAGCCTGCACTACTTCTCTTGGAAGTTGGTTCCAGATCCTAGCCGCCCTGACTGTGAAGTAGTGCCTCCTGATATCTAGCCTAAATCTACCCTCTGCCAGCTTGTGACCATTATTTCTAGTCACTCCTGGGAGTGCTCGGGGGAACAGGGACTCCCCCAATGCCTGATGGTCCCCTCTGACTAGTTTGCAAATGGCCACCAGATCCCCCCTCAGCCTTCTCTTGTGGAGGCTGAACAGGTTCAGATCCCATAGCCTCTCCTCGTAGGGCCTGCCCTGCTGATTCCTGATCATGCGGGTGGCCCTCCTCTGGACCCTCTCCATGTTGTCTACATCCCTCCTGAAGTGCAGCGCCCAGAACTGGACACAGTACTCCAACTGCGGCCTGACCAAGTAAACCCGGCGCTTTACCTTAAATTCTACGCATTCCCGAGCTGAGCCAAGCACGTGCCCAGCGTTAGTTGGACCTGGCTCACACAGTGTCTGTATAGATCAGACTCTTTAGTGGGACTGGCTTTTTTGGTGCTTTTATCTAATAGCTAATTAAGTCAGCTTTAGCTAAAAGTGCCAAAAAGCCCCACTGAAGCACCCAATGTCTACAGATGCTGTGGAGCTGGGTCAAAGGAGGCATTATCCACTCCTTTTGTTGCTGAATCACTATTCAGTTTACCCAATATTCAGTGAAGTCAGAGATGCAGATTCAAATCCCCTCTTGGTAAGAGGGGCCTAGAACTTGGTTCTTTTGTTTCTTGGATGAGTGTCCAAACCATTTCTGTCATCCTCCTTCATCTAACATCCACTAGTCAGAGTTTTGCCAGCTATAATTTTGTGACTTATGCGTAGGGAGCATATGCATATATTGGACTGCAGGCCTGCCCTGCCACTGTGTAGCCTACTGAGCATGCTTGAAATGGGAATATTGTGCATGAGTACCAAAAATGTCACTTATGCAGATGGAAAACTGCCAGTTGGGAGGGTAAAATGAAATAGAATTCTGCCCTTGGTCCACAGATTTATACTGTATATCTTATCAGCAAAATGTTGTTGATCTTTAGCTATTGCCATGACTTGGCCTAGAGGGTGAAAGTTAGAGACTCAAGTAAGAACCAGAATATACAGAGAGAATACTTCTCCATGTGAAATGTGGTGGGAAATTTGATTTGTTCAGTATTTGGGGCCAAGATGCTTAGTGTAAATCAACATAGTTCTCATTTCAGTGGAGAGGCACTTGTTGACATCAGCTGAAGATGTAGCCCATAATGTACATAGTACATTGAGACTGCTTGCAGATGTTTAAAAAACAAAAATATAAACCCGGTGCTTTACCTTAAATTCTGCGCATTCCCAAGCTGAGCCAAGCACGTGCCCAGAAGAGGCAGCAAGTTAGTTGGACCTGGCTCACCCAATGTCTGTATAGATTGGACTCTTTAGTGGGGCTGGCTTTTTTGGTGCTTTTATCTAATAGCTAATTAAGTCAGCTTTAGCTAAAAGTGCCAAAAAGCCCTGCTGAAGCACCCAATGTCTACAGATGCTGTGGAGCTGGGTCAAAGTAATGCACTGCTTCTTCCAGTAAAGCACTTTTGTTTTTAATGTCTGTAAGCAGCCTGAGTTTAAGAAACTAAAAAAATTAATGGTAAAGAACCAAAATGGTTGCAGTCATTCCACTGAATGAGGTGCCCAATGTGCATCTCATCTAATGCTACTTTGTAATGAAGGGTGCTTACAGACATGGAAAAAAAGAAAAAAACCCCAGCACTTTACTTTCAGCTTGGTGTGCCCCAGCACAGAGTGCAGCACATGCCCAGAAGAGGAATCACATCAGTTTGACCCAGCTCGCCCAGCATCTGCATCAACTATTAGCGACAAAAATCCCTGCTGAAGCACATGAGCTATACAGATGTTGGGGAGCAGGGTCAAACTGATGAGATTCCTCTTCCAGTAAAGAAATGT